GACAAACCTCAGAGGGAAGGGGGGTGGAGTGGGCAGGAAGAGATAAACCAAACCAAAGAACTTATATGCATAACCAATGGGCACAGACAGTGCAGTGAAGGGGGTGGGGGGAGTGGGAAGGAGGGTGTCAATGGAGGAAAAAAGGAGGGACATTTGGAAGACTTTCAACAACAAAAACCAGTTTCTCAGTGGTTAGAACATCAGCCCTCGGACCATAGGGTCTCGGGTTTGATTCCTGGTCAAGGACAAGTACATGGGTTGCAGGTTTCATGCCTGGACCTGGTTAGGATTATGTGTGAGGCAACCAATCGATGTGTCTCTCTCACATTGATATTTTTCTCTCTCTCTCTCTTCCTCCCTTCCACTCTCTAAAAATCAATAGAAAAGTGTCCTCAGGTGAGGATTAACAAAAAAAAAAAGATGAGCAAAGGATCTGAGTAGAAATTTCTCCAAAGAAAATACACATGTGGCTGATGAGCACATGAAAAAAATGTCCAAAGTCAGTAGTCATTAGGGAAATGCAAATCAAGACCACAGTGAGATACTACTTTATACCCACTAGGATGGCTATAATTCAAAAGAGCAATAACAAGTGTGAGTGAAAATGTGGAGAAATTAGAACCCTCACGTATTGCTGGTAGGAATGTAAAATGGTACAGCACTTTGGAAAACAGTCTGGCAATTCCTGAAAACGTTAAACATAGAGTTTCCATATGACCCAGCAATTCCACTCCTAGGTATATACCCAAGAGAAATAAAAACATACGTACACATAAAACCTTATACTTGAAAGTTCATAGCGGCATTATTTATAAAAGCAAAAAGTGGAAATTCACATGTCCATCAACTGATAAATGGACAAACAAATGTGGTACATCTACACAAAGGAATATTATTCAGCTATAAAAAGAAATAAAGAGCATCTACATGTTCTAATATGGCTAAACATTGAAAACAGTATTCTAAGTGAAAGAATGTAGACATAAACACCGTTTATATAAAATGTCCAGCATAGGCAACTCCATGAAGACAGAAAGTAGTTTAGCAGTTGCCAGGAGTCAGAGGGTGGGGGAAAGGTGAATGACTGCCAGTGAGTGTGAGGTTTCTTTTTGGGATGATGAAAGTGATCTAAAATTAGACAGTGGTTGCACAACTTTGTAAATGTACTAAAAATCACTGAACTGTACACTTTTAAAGGATGAATTTGATGGTATATGATTATACCTCAATAAAGCTGTTATTTTTTTAAATGGAACTCCTAGAACTGAAAATTACAATAACTAAAAAGAAAAATTCATTGAATGAGCAACTGGAGAAGGCAGAGAAAGGATCAATGAAGTAAAAGATAGATCAATAGAAATTATTCAATCTAGAGAATGGAGGACTAAAGATTGAAGAATAATTAACAGAGCCTTAGGAACAATTGGGACATCAAACAGTCTAACGTACATGTAATTGGTGTTCCAGAGATAGAAGAGGATGAAAATAGAGCAAGAAAATAATGGGAGAAATAGTGGCTGAAATCATCCCCAAATCTGATAAAATACAATAACTTCCAGATTCAAGATCAGCAAAATTAAGCAAGAAAAAATACAAAAATCACAGCTAGATATATACATAATAGTCTAACTGCTCAAAACGAAAAATAAAATAACATCTTGAAAACTACTAAATTAAAAAGATATTATACATGAACAAAAGAATAAATAAAATAAAAGTATGGCCCTGGCCAGTTTGGCTCAGCAGTTGAGCGTAAGCCTGCAGACCAGGGAGTCCCGGGTTCGGTTCCCACTAGGGGCATGTAGCACAGGAAAGAAAGAAAGAAAGAAAGAAAGAAAAAAAGACAGGAAGAAAGAAAGGAAGGAAGGAAGGAAGGAAGGAAGGAAGGAAGGAAGGAAGGAAGGAAGGAAGGAAGGAGGAAGGGACGGAGGTAAGGAAGGAAGGAAGGAAGGAAGGAAGGAAGGAAGGAAGGAATGAATTAGGCTGACTTCATCAGAACATGGAGACCAATAAAGGGACACCTTTATGCTAAAAGGAAAAAACAACAACTGTCAGCCCATTATTCTCTATCCATCCAATGAAATTATCCTTCAAAAATAAGGGTGAAATAAAGACAGAAGCTGATGCCCGGCCAGTGTGGCTCAGTGGATTGAGCATAGTCCCATGGACTGAGAGGTCCTGGTTCAATTCCCCATCCGGGCATAGTCCTGGGTTTCAGGCTTGATCCCCAATAGGGGGCGTGCAGGAGGCAGCGATGTTTCTCTCTCACATTGATGTTTCCATCTTTCTCTCTCTAAAGAATCAATAAAAACATATTTTTTAAAAATAGAAACTAAGAGATCTGGTACCCACAGAACACGTCAAGAAATGCTAAATAATGTTCTTCAGGCTGAAGGGAAATTAATAACATGGAAGCTTGAATAAGAACTGGTCCTGGGATTGTCTTGTATCCCTTTCTCATATAGGGGAGGAAAAAAGACTGAGAGTCACTTGTCTTTCCAAAGGGACTATTAGCTGGTGAGTTATCTATATGCTACAAGCCACTACTCCTCAAATTAGAGGTTTGACTCATTAATTGTTTATCTAATGGTTTGCAAACAGCATTTTAAAAAATATAATAGGGTATATACCCTTTTAATCAGATACAATATAATAAATGTTCATGTGATAATAATATACTTTCTAAAAACCTATTAATAAAACTATAGCTCATTATATTGGGCAATGTCTTACATAAATATCACAAATATCACTGTGACATTCTTCTTAAAATTTAATGTTGATGAACTCGTCTCCTTTTATTAGACAATGAGATTCATGTAACTTATTGTCTCTTTTCTGACCTGCCTGTCAGGAAGCTCATAGATCAATTTTTACTCAATTACAGTACCTATTCTTAGTCTAGGTCTTGTGATATAATAATATGCTCCCAATCCTTCATTATTAGACATTTTTAATTTATCTTTGTTTTAAGTTTTCTTGTTACTTAAGTTTTCCTTTCTTGTAAAATGTTTGATGACTAATAAATACAAATAGTTATCTGATAGAAGCAAAAATCATGATGGAGTACAAAGCAATTGGGGCAAAGAATAATTACCAAAATATTAAAAACAGGTAACCTTTATTTTTATTTCATGTATTTGTATTTAATGTTTTTCACAATGAACTTGTATTATTTTTGGAAGTTCTTTTCACTTTGCTTATGAATAACAGGCGTCAGGGAAAGTGGGATTTATTCCTTTGTCAGTGTGCAAGTCCAAAGATTTCACGGTAGTGTGCTTTATTTTCATGTTATATTAAACAGAAGGAGGACCTGACACCAGCTAACTGAGAACTGCCATCCTTTAGTAGTTTCAGCGGAAATTAACCTAGAGAGAGTTGTCAGACAGACAGAAATAAATTATTTTCTTCAAGTTTCTATAGGAGCCAAAGAAAGACCTCGAGTACATCTTAAAATACCAGAAGTATTAAATGGGGCTAATTACATTGCTGTGGTCCGAACAGGCACATGCCTGACCCCAGTCCTTTCTGTATCCACCAACAGTGCGTGTGGCTGCTGGAGTATTAAGATCACCCTAGGATACGGAAAACCTAGAACGTAAGGTCTAGACAGGCAGGTGTGTGTCTTTCTTGATCTTTGTAAGTCTAGCAATAAGCATAGTATTTGGCATTCAGTCTTGCTCAGTACAGGAAATGATAGACAAGCTCCACTCTAGGCCCCAGTCAATGCCTCTGGCCCTCTAGCCCTCCCCCACAATGGAAGATCGAAGAGAACGTACATATGGAAACCGGACCAGAACCTGAGGTTGGTGTTTGGAACACACCCTACCCCTCACAGCCTCTTCAATCAGCCAGCAAAGTGGCCCAGGTTCCCACACAAAGGCAATTCAGTGAGGGAGGGAGGTTGCTGGAAAGGACCATATCAGGTCCTTGGCTCCCAAAATGATGGGTGCATGGCAAGACAGTAAGAGGAGCAAATGGGCGCTGGATGTCCAGCAGCTGGGGAGAGTGATAGACAGCTGGGCAAGAGCTCTAATGCCTGGTTCCAAGAACAAAGTCCAGGCAAATGGAAGAACAAGAGTATCACAGTCCTCTGAGAGGGCCTCAACCTTGCCTAAGATTCTCCCCCCACCTGCCACTTGCCTTTGGATTTAGAACTAACCTTGCTCAGTGGGACCGTCTGTCCTGAACTGGGGTCCGCATGATTCCTGGAGGTATCTCTCCATACCTGCTCACAAAGGACTATGAATGACTTCCAGTTCCTTCGGTTTATTGTTCATGTCAATGGAGTGGGCACCTCCCCACTTCATGCCTCTTTCAAGAACCACCAGAAAAAAGACACCCAACAAAATCCCCATCCCAGGTGAGATCAACCCTGCCCTGGCACACCTGTCTGCTCAGTATAATTTAGGATGTGAGGCAGAATAATGTCCTCCTCCCCCAAACTCCACCTCGATGAAAAACCTCTAAGAAAGAGGTGCCTGGGTTTCCCTGCACCCTAATTTGTAAATGCCCTTCCTGGGGGCAGGTTGGGTAAGGGCTGGAGGAGACTTCCTGAAACTGGAGGGACAGCCCAGGGATGCCCAAGTCAAATTTGCTAGGGGTGAATCCGAACCCTGTCCTCAGCAGACTGTTTCTAAATTAAACTGTCAATTGGTTGCCTACCCTCAACATTAAACTCCAACAACTTGTAACAAGGAGAGGCAGACTCGCTGAGGCGCTGAGGTAGGAATGGGTAGTCCATCACCAAAAAAGCGCCTGCTCCAATCCTTTGCCTTTTGTCCTCCTACCTTTTCTCTCCTGGATAAAACTCAGAAATGGCTCCGGCGTCCCTCTGCTCCCCTACCCCAGGGGAAAGGCATCAGCTCCCCTCACCACCCTCTCCAGGTTCACTTGAGGTCACCAATCCCGAGTTAGGATGCCGTCCCCTTCACCCCCAGCCCCTCCCTCCTACAACTTGCCCTATGTTCAGGACCTGGGTCCCAGCAGGGAGGACTCACCTTGCAGCCGGGGGGTGGCCATGGTGCTGGCACACAGGACGCCAAACCCGGTCTGCCCCGCTGGAGCGCTCGCAGCTGGACAGGCTTACTCCGCTGCGGGGCTAATTCCATCTCGGCTCAGCTGGGTCTGGACGTGCCCGCCCCTTGCCTGCTGCCGCCGCCTCCTCCCCATCCCTCCCCGCCTCGGGCCAGAGGCCGCGCGGGGCTCTCCCGCTGAGCCCTGGGCGCCTGGGCGGGCAGCGCCACGTGGAGACAGAGCTAGCACCGCCGCAGGGCTGAGTCTGGGGCACCTGGGTAATGGAGCTGAGGGGCCACACAGTAAGTGCTGCCCGCTCTCCTCCACGGGGGAGGTGCCTCCTAACCTGGGCCGGCGCGAATCTTCAGCTGGATTATCTCGTGAACGTCTGGCTGATTAGTTTCCAATCCCACCCGTAAAGCCTCCTTCCTGCCGCCCTGTCCCGGGGTGCGGGTGCGGGGGTGCGGGTGGGGGTGGGGGTCTCCCTGCACACCTTCCTTCACTCTACCCACCGCCGGCTGTCCCCACCTTTTTCTAGCCTAAAAGGAGCAGGAGTCAAGGAATAGGCACAGGAGGGACAGGCAGGACAGGCAGAGGGGCTGCAGGTTGTAGATGAGCCTGCCCTGGGACAGGGTTGAGGAGGGAAACTGGGGGCCCCTCCCAAATAACAGAGGACTGCCCTCTCTCTCTGGAACAGTTAGGTACCTGGCCAAGGACAAAGGGATGGGGAAAACAGCTTCCGAAGGGCCCTTCTGGATGATGGAATCCACAATTCCAAGAGGCCCTGGAGCTAAACACGTTCCTTCATACCTGGGGCTCCCAAAGTGAAAAAGTATGGTGTTGAAGTCAAGTGTGCTATTTATGACTACTGACCTTTCAGTGTGCAGAATGTTATCTCCCCACTTTGTACAGGAGCTGAGGCAGTAAACGGGAGCAGACCACACAGAACGAGCCGGGGCAGAGAAGAAGGAAAATCAGAAGTTTTAGGTCCCAATCCCGGCTTTATTCTGCTCACTAGGAGTAATGGTGACTAATGTTTATTATACAGGACTTACTCTTCCTTCAGGCACCCTTTAACCTGCAATAACTATTTAATTCCAATGACAATTCTATGAGGTAATTACTGTTAGTATACCCATCTTAAGGATGAGAAGACTGCGGTGTAAGGAAAAAAAGGTCAAGCAACTTGCCTCTCGGGGTTGGTATGCCAGTGTCCCAAAGCAGGCAGTCTGCTCCAGAGTCAGTGCTCAAAACCCTTTGCCATGGCTTCTTCCTCTCCCAAACAATTCCCCCTCCCATTCACTTCCGGGACCTTCTGCATGTCTTTTCAATGCCAAGACAAGTAGGAGCCTTTCCACCACATCCACTACCCATTCTCTTCCCTCTCTTCCTCTAGCCCTTCTTATCCCCTAGTCCCTGTACACTCCCTCCTCCTAGAACTCTCACTTTGAGGGACTGTCTCATCTGCTCTGAGAATGTGCCAAAGAGAAAGTCCCTGAGACCAGGGGCACACCCCACCCTTGGAAGACCTGCGGAGTAGGGAGGGCCGTGGGACACACCCCGCTACCTCCACCAGTTTCTTTCTGTATCCTTTTTACCCTGCTCCCTGCCATTTTTAAAAAATCAAACATACAGCCTTTCTGATTCTGTTTTTTTCTTGATAGTGAATTGTCATATCAGTAAGTAGGAGGAGAAATTCAGGCTATGGCGGGTAAGGCAGTTGGAAAATTGACACCTTATGCTAAAGGGGCAGCCGCTCTGCTGAGTCTCTCTGTAGAGGCTGATGCCTCCAATAACACCTCATCCCCAGGTGGAGTGTTAAGCGATCAGTCAGGAGAGAGACAGGTAATGCCCTGCACTGGATCTGGCTTTCTACAGAGACCTAAGAGGCTGCTCAACGTTGGAGGCAGGGTGATGGATGGAGGGATGACAACCTTTGAATTATTGAACAGTTATATAAAACTTCTATCCATTCTTCCTTCCCTCTATCCTACTAAACTCCCCACCAAACCTATTTAAGACAATCCATGCCATTTGCTCAGACTGTATATTCTGTTGAGGTTGTTCCCCGGAAATAATGAAAGTGGTTGATGCCTAGAAATGCAGCAATCACTGGTTCCCATGATAGCAAGGGCTGCCTCTGTAAGTAACAGGGATGGTGTAGCTCTGGTGGACTGCCCTGGGGTTCTTACCTATGTGTCAAAGCACCTGAGTCTGAACTAGCCCTGCCACCTAGCAGCTGTGTGACCTTTGGCAAGTCACTGGAGTTCTCTGAGCTACTTTCATCCTCAGTGAAGAGGCAGGGGGGGCTGAGGGGGTAGGGCATCGGATTAGATAATGTCTAAATCCTTTCCAGCTCCATCATCCTTTCAATGAGTTGAGTCTCTCTTGTTCAAAGGATCTGGAATGAAGATCAATTCTCCATCAAATTCCTGTCATATATCCAGACCTTCCCTTCGTTCTCAGGGGCATTCTCTCCCCAGTTAGAGTTTCTATCATCTTGCCAGCATGTACCCGTAAACTTTTTTCATTTTAAGGAAAGACGACCTCTCTTTGAGAGTGACAGCACCACTTAGGGATCTGAGACTAGTGAAGCTTGGTGGTATCTGTACCTCTTTCCCTCCCCTGAAGGACGCCTGGAGCCGGCAAGGTCTTGGCTTCCAGCGCACAACCTGAGAGAAACCCAGCTGTTCACCGTCAGAACAAGGGACACAGATGGTAGAGACACTGCTTCCCCTTTTGAGCCTTGATGTCCCATTTTCAGTCTTGTCACTTCTTACATTACTACAGAGCAATTTACAGTTACCCTAGACTTTCAGGCTTATTTTATCCTCTCCACCCTACGAGTGACACTCACATTCCTGTTTTCCAAATGAAGAGACTATGTCTGAGAACCACCACGGGGCTTAGTTGAAGCCACACAGGAGAGTAGGGGCCTTATGTGGAACCCAGGCCCTTCCCCAAGTCTGAGACTCACTGGCCATGGCTGACCTGTGGGGATGGGACCATGTTCCTGTACCTACCAGCACCCCATCTGCACCCCTCAGTCCCAGCACCTCTCCCTCCCACAGGGGACACAAGAACTTAGCTAAGGGCTCAGAGAAACCCTCGCATACCCAGCCAAACCCCTTCTCCAAAATATCAGCCACCTTGGCAATAATCACGTTTTCTTAGCAGGAGCCTGGTTCTGGGGCCCACCCCTCTGTCTGTCAGAGCCCCAGGGTTCAGAGACTGGAGAGCCCAGTGTTCCTGAGCAAATCCCTTTTACTTTAGCCACTGGGCCGAGTTTCTGAGGAGGCCTGCCCCACACTCTCCTCTCCCCTCTGCACTTTTTCCCAGAGGTTGGCAGTGCCACCCCGACCCTGGGGCTCGAGTGTTTTCAGATGGAGCCTGTGTTTTCTCCTTCAGAACCAGTCTCAGAACTTGCCCAGCCTACAGCCGTCACCTCACCCTGGAAGACGCAGTGAACCAATACATTAGCCTTTTGCAAGATGAGAGATTGGCCTTTATTGGGGGCCCAGGAGGGCACAAGAGCAGAGCATACAAGGACCAGGCAGCACTCTGGCGGTCAGGCTGCGCAGGCAGTGGCGGGCTCCACGGCAGCGGCCTCACTTGCCGCACTTCCTGGCGGAGCACCTGCACTGCATGGCGTTGAGGACCTGGTGGTGGACGATGGAACCGTTGGCGCAGCGCAGGGGCACCTGCATGGGCTCTGTCTGCGTCGGGGAGCAGCAGGAGCACTGGTCCTGCACATCCTCTGTGTCGATGGAGTACACCGCTTTGCTGGCACACTTGCCCTGCAGCAGGGCAGAGAGCGGCAGGGCATTGTGATGGTGCAGGACTCTGAGGGCGCCTGCTTCCCCCACCTGGCCTTCTCCAAGCAAGGCAGATGTGACCTCCCCCGGGAAACCCAGGACAGCAAGGCAATTTGTAAGTTAGGTCTCAGGGAAGTCTGAAATGTCCTTCATCCTTATGGCACCATCGCACCGATCCCTCCAGCTGCAATTTCTATGCCTGTCTGATGCATCTTCAGGAACCACAGCCCCCCAGCTTCCATAAATAACTCTCTATTCTCTTTGAATTTTTCCTCCGTTTTTTGGGTGTTTTGTTTTTTTTTTTCCTTCTGGGGTCAAAAGTTCCCAGTTACTTCAATAAATCATGTGCTTTAACATAAAATGTTTCCAGTTCTTTTCACTTCTCTTCCCTGTGAATTTTCCAGATCCTTTTGTAATGTAACTAAGGAAATATCTCTAAACAAGGAGGCTCCCCTCCCCGCTTAGGCCTTGTTGAATTTGGGGGCCCTTACCTGGCAGTAATGAATGTCCACTTCCTCTTCGGACTGACAGTTTCCCACTTTGACATACTGCAGCCTGGCGGTGATATCCTTGCAATCGGGCTCCTCACCTATAGGACAGGTAGGAGGTGGGACCGGGCCTGGCTGGGGTTCTGTAGAACACTCTCCAGCCCAGTTCCCTCACAGCGCTGGACAACAGTAACCAGATCACCAAAGCCAGCCACAGGGAAGGGAATTATGTCATCCTGGCTCACCCAGTCCTTCATATTCAGAGATTTGGTTATTGTTGAATCTAACTTACTTAATGGTACAATTTTAATTGCAGGGGGAGCCTAGATTTGCTGTGCTTTGGTGATGTAGATGAATGAGACTTGCTTTTATCTAATTGAAGAGTCTAAAAACCATAATGACTGCAACAATTTTCTTATGCTTATGACAGTATCCAGAAGCTAATGGGCCATGAAGTAGCCAATAAGTAGAATTAGTATCTATCCATTCCTGCCTTTGGGTTATGAGGAAAGGCCAATATCATGGCTATCTAAGGGCACTCACTGCCTCTGTGGGGGCCAGGAAGACCCTGGGAGCCCCTGTGGAGTCCTCTTTTTGGATATAGCTGCCTGCAGGTCAGTGGCATGGGCTTCCTTCCATACAGATCTTAGTGACATTCCGTTGGGAATGCTACCTGCTCGTGGAGAATGCTAAGATTCAACGGC